AAAAAAAAAAAACAGAAGAGTTATTTGTATATTGGGTCAATCCTAACAAGTGATTAAAAATACTTATATGTTAGTACCTTTACTGCTGTAAACCTACCAGTGGATTAGGCATTTGTTTGATACCACATAGGATTTAGATGTTTAAATACATAGGGATAGAAAGGTGGAGGACAGGACAAAGTTATACAAACCACTTTTGAAGATCCAACCTACTTGTAATTATCGTCTTCCACAAATTTTTGTAGTTCTTCTATATACTGAACGGAGTTCAGATATTTTTGAACATGAGGCAACATGGGAATATCTAGGCAAAAGGTGATAAATAATTATCTGATAAAGTACAACTTAACCCGAATTTTAAAAATCAAGCTGAAAATAATTTAAAGGTAAGTTTAGGCCACATGGTATCAAAATTTAAATTAACTCTAGAAGGACATTACTGAGATAAGCTTATTTAATGCGAAACTGAGGGTAATTTAGAAAATTACAGTTGCCTACTATTTGTATAGATTGTTGTTGTATTTTTTAATAGCTCCAATTATGAAGTCTCACATATTTGAGAAATTTCATAGAAAATGATCAGCAACTATTTTAAACTAAACACAAGACACAAAGGCAGTTATTTTTCTTTCAAAGAAGCCTGGTTCCCATTTATAAATGTGGTCTGTCTCTTCCCCTTATAAATTTCAAGCAAGATTAATTTAACATCACAACTTGATGCTATGTTTAAAATATTGAGAAAAGGACAGAAAAAGGAATTATTTGATTTAACTTTCAGTAAGATTCTATTTCCACAGATACTTTTAGGAAGTTTTTGTGGTTTTCTAAAAAGTATAGATGCATGAAGTAAAAGTCAGCTTTAAGATAAATTTACTTGAAGTAATCATATAATGTAAAACTCAGTTTTTTAACCCATAGAAATTATATATTAACAGCCTAACTTTATTCTCTATCAAACTGGAAGTATCTAAATATTAAAAAAATGCCTTTTCTCATCATTTGGGCTTATTTAGCTCTTTCTATAGATATAATTCTATAAAATACATGTTGGATAGAAATTGGTTATTTACTCAATATCTGACTCAAGAAAGTTGGTCAATTGTTACAAGGCTCAAGGGTCTCAGCTACATTTCCCTAACAGAAAAATGTAAAAACTATTTACATAATAGATCAGGGAGATCAAATAAGATAAGAGAAAATGACTCTGTAAACTATAAAGGGCCAAAAGCTGTGAGGTAGTAATATTAAATACTTAATGCCCTTGTATTGTGAGAAAGTTGCTGCAAAATAGCAGAAAAGCAAAATATAAAAATAAAAATTTTAAATATGAAATACTTAAATTCCTTAAACGGAAGACCTTATGAAATAAAACAAGCACCATTTCCCTTTATATTAGGGTGGAAATAAGAGACTGAAGTCCCCTGCTGTGTGAAAAGTGATCATCAATGTGTGAATAAATCACTGGAATTACAGCAATGTTAATGGCTTGGCATTATCTCCCAGAAACTTACCATATTCACAAGACTGTTGCAAATCAGAAATTATTCGAAGGATATTATTCATTAAATTTGATCTTTGCTCACTTTCTAGAATGCTGCCAGTTGATGGGTATGCTGAATCAATGTATGTTAAATCTGACAAATAGATACCTGAAACAAAATTAGATAAATGAATGTTTTCTTATTTGTAGTTTGGGAGACTATGACCAAGAAAGGGTGAAAAAGGTTGTTTATAGATACATTCCAATGTATGCCACATTTAAAATACATTGCTATTAATACACTGAGGCCTGGGTAACATGATTACTGGGGTTGAGGTTTCCATATGGTTGGGGTCAGATATATACCAATTTTTTGGTAATAATATGCTATTTTGTAAATGTCTTCTTGTGATTTCATTTTCAAGTAGTTTGAGGCTACAGTTAGAAACTCCAGAACACATGGGAATTAATAGAAAGGAGCTGAGCTCTTCAACTGGCTCTGCCTCTGACTAGTTTTATAATAGAGACAGTCATTTTAAACTCAGAACCTCAGATTTAAAATCTATAGAAGTATCCATTTCCAAGGTGTATTACAGCTTGAAGACATTTAGTTAGCAGCCCAGCCACTGCCTGACAAAGGGAAATTATTTAATATTTGTTTTATACTCTTTTGCCTTGAGTTGGTAATTATCATTTGAGTCTTAACTACTTTGAAAATTATCTCAATCCGGTAGAAATGTTTTATACTTTAAAGAACAACACATGAATTTCTGAAATAGTTCATGTGACTACAAATTGAAGTTAACTATTTCTTACCCTCCATGCGCTTTGTACCCAAAAATAACATAACACATCTTTTAAAATTTGATTGTAATAGTCCTTAAGATGAAAGGTCACTCATAAAAGATTATTTCTGGAGAGTTTACTATGCACATGTGAAATGTATTAGACAACTAAAGCTGGGGAGAAAAGAAAAACATACTTTCCTACTTTTACCCCATTACTTCGTGTTCATGAACTCTCAGGGAAATACAAACGAAATACCCTAACTACTGCCTTCTAAATAAGCACTGTTTTTCCTCAGCTTTTTCTTATACCTTAAATGTTTCTAGACTTACCTCTGCCTATCCAAATCCTATATTTTACTTAACTAATTTAGTGTCAACTGTTCGCTAGTTTTCTCACAGATTCCAAGAAAGGAATTCAGACACTGTCTAGTCTAATTCTCTCCTTTTACAGACAAAAAACCTGAAATACAGATAGTAAAAGGACCTGTCTAATGCCATGCAACCTGTTAGTGATAGAGCTGGATCTCAGGTCTCACTTATAGCCCAGTGTTTTTTTTTTAATTACTTACATTCTGTTAAAAAATCATATGTTATCGGTCCATACTATTCACTTGATAACTTTTATGACTTCAAAATCTCCTTACTTAGATTTTTTTACATTTATATCTTATCTATTCAAGACTCAAAACTCATTTAAGGCAGTTGCTCTATCTTGCGAGAGAGAAAGAAAATCTTGTGCCATGTTTTGACAATAGGTGCTTAATACACCATAAAAAGCTAGCATGGCAATCTTCTTACTTATCCTAGTATCATTCACTTTCCACTCAGTAAATTTTTACAGTGTTCTTTAAGCCACCTATCAGACTTTTTTTCTTTAGAGAACCTCAACTTTATTTCCCTATAACTCCCAATGAATCAGAGGTTCCAAATGAAGCTGCGGTTCTTCCCACTTTCCCCAATCTCGGAGGAAGAAGAATCCCTCTCTTCTTCCCAAATCTCAACTGTAATTTTGAATGCAATTGTTGCTGCCTCCTTCCAAACAGCCACCATTGCCTCTACTATCACTCATCCTACTGGCTCCTTTCCCAGAGCCAATATACACATTTTTCTTCAAGACAGAGTCTTGCTCTGTCACAGGCTGGAATGCAGTGGCGCAATCTCAGCTCACTGCAACCTCTGCCTCCTGGGTTCAAGAGATTCTCGTCCCTCGGCCACCAGAGTAACTGGGATTACAGGCGTGTGCAACCACGCCCGGCTAGTTCTTATATTTTTAGTAGAGACAGGGTTTCACCATGTTGGTCAGGCTGGTCTCAAACTCCTGTTCTCAAGTGATCAGCCCGACTCAGCCTCCCAAAGTGCTAGGATTACAGGCGTGAGCCAGTGCGCCCGGCACAATATACATGTTTAAATCTACCCTACTTATAAAACAAAATCTAAGCAATTCTTCCTTCAAATCTGATCCCACACCTCAAGATAACATCCTTGTCATTCTCCCTTCAACAAGCACCTTGGAAAAAAACACAGAGCAGTAAACTTATTTTATTATTTTATTTTAATGTAATATTTGATACACAAAAAAGTTTACATGTGCTAGGAAAATTGTAAAAGACTTTGAGATGGGGAAAAAAAAAAGATTAGTAGGTATCCTGTCTCGGTGCATCAGTTTGACCATTTTGAGCTATTTTATAACTCTGCACAGCTGATGAAAACTGGTAATAGAAATTATTGTCCATAAAAATGCCAAAGAATTATGTCAGTGGGATCTAATGAATGTTGACTTATTAATATTGATCAATTTTGCAACTATTTGTTAAATTTATTTCAGCATTCTTGATTGCATATGTGTGTTACTTTGAATTCTTCCTTGATGTATTTTTGATTCCCTTATAAATTTAATAATTTAAATGAAAATCTGGACACATATTCATTTCATATTTGTGTGAGAATCATGATTTGACTTAAAAAAAATTATTGCCGTGAACAGTGGCTCACGCCTGTAATCTCAGCACTTTGGGAGGCTGAGGCAGGTGGACTGCTTGAGCCCAGGAGTTTGAAACCAGTCTGGGAAACACAGTGAGACCGCACTGCTAAAAAAATAAAACAAACAAACAACAAAAAAAAAAAAACAAAAAAAAAACCTTCAACACATGTGACATCTGTTGTTATCAAACAATATAACAAACACCTGCAAAAGACCAGGAAACTTATTACATCCTCCCTAAGGAGGTCTATAAGATTAGCACATGTATATCAATAACAGCAATAAAAGATATGTTAAAAGTAGCACAGAAAAGCTTAAAGAGGAGTTTCATAAAAATTCTGTGCAAAAAAGTGTTATTCCCTGCTGATGTGCTCAGAGAAGGCTTCAAGGAAGAAGTGGGGTTTGAGCTGGGTACGAATGTGCCAGTTCTTGCCATTCTTCCATCTTGTCATTAAACTCAGATGACAACTCACCTATAGTCATTCACTATACTGTGCTGTCCAATATGACAGCCACTTGCCACATGTGACTACTGAGTGTTTCATGTGTTTATTCTGAATTGAGATGTATTTGAGTATAAAACAGACAACAGATTTTGAAGGGTTAATATGAAAAATTAATGGAAAACATCTAATAAACTTTTGTATTGGTTACATGTTAATATTTTAATATGTTGGGGAAAATACCACTTTAAACGAGAACTACATCATCATCTATACTGCTGCATTTATTGGTTATGTTCCTTTTCTACTTCATCTCCTTGTTTCCTGTCCAGAAATAACCACTACCCTGAACTTTAAGATCATTCCCTTATTTTCCCCCCAGACATTTGTCTGTATTCCTATCTTTGTCTATTTTTGAGTTTTAAAAATAACATTTTAAGCATCTGAGGATTAAATAATAGTAATGTCAGAAAAATGTCTAGTATATACTAAGCCACTTGTAAAGATTTATTAAATAAAATTAAAAAATATAGTCTTCTGTGGTTGCTTTGTCTATTTTATTTCTAAGACTTATCCACACTGTTAAATGCCGCTGTAATCCCTGAGAATGAGAACAAGCTAATGTGTGGCTATTTTACAATAACTTATTTGACAGACTTTTGAGTTACTTCCATCCCACCCTCAACCATGTTGCTATAGACATTCTTATACACATCTCCCAGTACACATGTACAGAATTTCTTCAGGATATATGTACACGCCTAGAAGCAAAACTGCCAAGTACTAAAGTATATTAATATTCAATTTCACAAGATGGTGCCACATTATTTTTCAAAGCTGTATCAATTTGCAGTCCCACTAATTGTATACAAGCTTCTGCTGATCACATTTGTGCTAATACTTGGTATTACCAATCTCAATTTTGCCAACCTTCTGAGTATAAAATGGTATCTCTTTGTGTCTTAATTTTTATTTCCTTGATTAGTAATAAGGTTAAACATTTATATTTCTATGTAATAAATGTTTCTGTCCATTTTTTCTTTTGGGTTGTCTTTTTCTTATTGATTTCTAATTTCTTAATGTATTGTGCACACTAATTTGTCAGTTAAATTTTATCTAGTCACTCTTCAACACACTAAATAATTTGAAATCTGTATCTATCACTTATTTTGGCAATGACATTAATCACTTTTTCATCCTAAGTCTTAAAACATCTCCCTTGGTCTCCGCTTCCTATGTAATCTCTCTGCTGTATTGTAACCATTCTCTTCTAGTTCCCAGGTTTTTCCTAGCTTGAACTTTCCTATCTTCCCTCAAACCCCAACCACTCTTCTTTTTCCTCATGTTTCCTGGAAGCTGGTTTCCTAGAACTTGGAATCATGGTCTGTCATTAATCTTTCTTTTCATTCTATGTGTACTTTCTCTAGTATCTTAGTTCCATAGCTTTAGCTACTACCTAATTGCTGATGACTTTCAAATCTCTCTATGTAAATGAGCTCCTGACTTTCATTTTTAGTTTAACATATCTAACCATAATTTGTCCCTAAATACCTGCCATTCCAATTTCCTACACTGCTTAGTGATATTATTAATTGCTCAAGTTAGAAAGCTCCAAACTGTTCAAATTTAAAAGCTCAGGAAGAATTTACTATCTCTTATTTTTCCCAGATTTAAACCATTAGTGACTACAACATAATTACTGAATAATCAAGAAATTATACATAATATAAACTAGAGGCCAGAAGCTGGCAGAACATTTGTCTCAATGTTTTTTAAATTCAGGAAGTATCACAGGAAAAATCTAAATGGCTCTTTTTTCCTGAAAAATGGGCAGAACTGGAAACACTGGTCTTATAATCCTTCATGGCCACAAGTATAGCTGAGAAGATGCAGGCAGATTCCTTTAAATTAATCATAAGGATGCCAACTTGTCATAACCTTCATTTCTCTCCATTATCTTACTACTGATTTACTTCACTGATTTATATTATCTGCTCCATTCTTCTTGTGAGCATTTGCCTTTCTAGGCCCTTGTGTTTGCAACCTCTGGTATACCTATATATGGCATAAGAATTCAAAGAAATGATTCTGTGAAAGAGGTAGAAAATAAGCTTAGAGTTTAAATAAAGGATATGGATCAACAGTGTGACCTAACAGAAAGAGAAAAACAGCACGAGCTACAGCAACAAGGAAGGGAAAGCATAGGTATGTAAAGAAAGCCCAAAAGTTTTATCTAGAAGCAGCTTACAGCAACTAGGTAAAGGTAATCAATGACAGACAGTATGGTATAATGCTTTGGCATTAGATTCAAATCCCAGCTCCACTACTTGTACTTAAGTACTAAGCTAAGTTATTTAAGCCTAAATTTGTGTTTCTTCAGCTACTGAGTTACTTAACATTTCTTCAATCAATACAACAGTATAGTTGTACTCAACACTTATTAATCTTCCAGCACCTTATTTTCATAGCAGAAGAACCTGGACAGAGGTAGGTAAAGTCATTTGTCTAAGTTCACACAGTTAGTGGAGAGTCAGAGCTTCCTTGTTTTTTCACTCAGTTCAGGGTTATGTTTGTTTTTAAACCACACCACATCAATTAATAAGAATGACCTTATACAGAGAAGAGGGTCATTTTGTAGAATAGGAGGATGTGACATTATGTAACACCAGAATTTAATATTTAAAAGTATTAACTATCTGAAAGAATTTGACTTATGTTTGGTAATTACATATAAAAGCAGTTTTCTCTTAAGACACATTTCACGGTAAAACATAACATATTACAACAAGTCAAGTATCTTTTAAGTTTAAAACTTTCATTAGCAACTTAATAAGTAAAATGTTTACAAATTCTTCTAGACTATACAGAGTATTACATTATTTAGGTGGCTGCCTCCTGACAAAGTCTAGCTCTTGCTCTTTGTTAACAAAAACCAAACTCACCAGCCTGCAACTACTTCTAAGTGAAGTTGAATACTATTTTTTTTCGTATTCAACTTAAAAGATCTCTGGCCAGCAGACTAAAATGTTTGTTTTATAATTGCCCGCTGAACTATGATAGTTTGTTTCCAGATGGTGCCCTTCCTTCAACCTGCACACAATCTCTCCTTGTTCAAAACTATTCAACCTCCTGCTGATCCCACCCCCCTATTTAAGGCTACAAAGAGGAAATCCTAAGGAGGAGATTCCCGCCCCCAGTCTCCAGCAATTTCTGGTGATGTAATATGTGGGCTGAACTTGAGTCTACTGAGAAAGAGGGAATCACTATTCAGGGGTACTGTATATACAATCTAGGTCAGCTGCAGCTGGTTACTGCATTTCTCCATGTGGCAGACAGAGCAAAGCTACAGCGCTTTCTCTGCTGGATTAAAGACGGCCCACAGACCAGATCTTCTACTATACTACTTAAAATTACATAGGTGGCTTGTCAAATTCAATTGATTAGTATTGTAAAAGGAAAAAGAAGTTCCTTCTTACAGCGTGGATTCAACGGTCCAAAACAAAAATGCAGCTTCCATTAAAGTAACAGATGAACAAACTTCTACACTGATTTTTAAAATCAAGAATAAGGCAGCAAGTTTCTGGATTCACTGTATCAACAGATACAAAAAGGTATTTAATATTTCTTTTATTTAAAAATATTATGTATATCAAATGCATAACTATTTAATATTTGTAGTAGAAATTTCAGAATCTTTTACTAAACAAAGACCTTTGGAATATACTACAGTTTACCTCATCTGAAAAAGGATTTATCCTGCAACCTGACATAAAAACATTAAGTACTGTGTGATGGTTAATGCATTATTTGAGGTTCAACTTAATGACAGTTAGTGTATATGATTACAGACTGATACACGCATGCCATGCTGGGTTTCTGAAAACAAGTGCTTTACTGACAGTAGAAAGAAATTTTAACAAGTAACAGATTAAATGTATAAGGTTTAAAGCTTAATGATTAAAAACAAAGGAATACAAACTAAAGAAAATAGTTGTAAATGCAATTAGTTTCTCTTCCTGAAGCTACAAGGTGTGCGCTGAAGATATACATAAACTGTTGGATTTTGCATAGTCATAAAACAAAGCTAAGTTATAAAAATAGCTGAAAGTCTTTGCAACAAAATCTCAATTACAGTATAACTAAATATTAAACAGAAATTCTTGTACAGATTTAAGATTGATTTATGACATTTCCTGTTACAACTCAAAATTTTAAATAGCCTTCCAGTCTTACATATAATAGTAATTTAATTTGGATGACAGAAATTAAACTCGCTACAACTGGAATTACTCGGAAAAGCAAGTTATCGATATACACACAAAAGCATTATGGAAGTAGTCAATATTAACAATAGAAAATAAGAACTCAGAAGATATAATTAATAAAATATATGACTAAAAGGCCAAAAATATGTAATATTTTTAGACAGAAATAAGTTCGTTAAGCACACATAAGGGGTGTCCTTAAATATTTTATCTGGAGCTTTGTTTACCTGCATTATAAAAACAAAGATAAAATTACTAGTTACCAATAATATGACTTAAACCAAAGACACATTGGTTTGTTAGATTTGGGGCTCCTCTGGCCTTATAAAAATTAAAGATATTAATGGTTAAGAATCCTGAACAAGCAAATAATGGTAAAGCTAAAATTTTTTCCAACTTTGCTTTGATGTCCTTTCCTTAAAGATTTAAAAAATACTGGCAGGATTTCTGTTAAACACAGATTTTACAAGAAATTCTAACAAAATTTCCAAGCAACAGTGGATATGAAATACTGTCATCTCTCTTTTTTGTTGTTGCATGCTATGGAATGTGCAGACTTCATTAAGCCTCAGTTCTTACTGATGTTGTCTTAAGGCAAGCATTTAATCTGAACCCCAAATCACATAGATAACTATTTATCCTTTTCTTAAATATATCCAGGGGATTAGATTGTTCCCAAGTCTCTTCCCAGAACATATTTCACAATCTAGCAGTTCTTTATCTAACATATCCTGAATGCTTCATAAATTTAACTTCATTGCCTCATACTGTTTTCAGTGCATGACACAGCCAGTTACATGCCTCTCTGAGTTTACCATCCGAAAGAAGGCAAATCCTGACTTTCGTTTCTTCTCTCTATAGCTGGCAATGCAGCAACTATGAAGAGAAATACTTCTAATAAAATTAACTCAATGCAGTTTTTTCTTTTCTAAAAACACCAAGGCTAGATTTAAACTTAAGTATTTTATAACTAATTTATAACATTCTCTTGGGGCCTAGGAAAATTTTAACATATACAGTAAGGGTTTATGAGGTAACACAGATTTATGGATCTTTCACTTCAAAACTGAACATATGTGAGAAAATATTAAATAAGAGAATGTTTTTAGAAAACATAACAGTAAATGTATTTTTAAAACTAGTTCTTTCCTCCTGACGTAGCTAGTCTACTACTTAAGAAATGTGGGTCCTTACCCGGCTTTAAGTGACAATGAAGCCAGTACTTTTGCATTTATTAAAAATGCAGTAGCCAGCTGCAGCTGACCTAGATTGTATATACAGTACCCCTGAATAGTGATTCCCCCTTTCTCAGTAGATTCAAGTTCAGCCCACATGTTACATATTATATTTATTTAAAAAATAAACTTTTAGCTGCCTCCTTTAAATGCTAATTTAGATTACTTTCTCTTATGGTAGGCAGTGGTATCTCTTATGCCTTACTCTTACAGGAACCACAATGAGCCAAGGCAGAATACACACAAGGAAGTTGTTTTTAATTCATCTAAATTTTAGCATTTTGGGGTTTTTGTCCTTCAATGACAACACTGATGCAAAATCCTAACAGCAGTCTTGGATGATGTGCTTTTAGCTGTTCTATAAAAATCTGTGTCTGGTATTAATACAAGCTGTTCAATCAGAATACTGCTCATAAAACTGTATTCGTTTTGGAGTTTTATATTACTTCCTGCATTTTCCTTGTTTTGGTAGTTTACCTCATAGTAAATATTATTTAAGTAAAATAATTTTATGATCTAAGAGTTTCTATTCTAGTACTAAAATGAACAAACTTTAGCAGTAGGTAAGTTAAATATATAGGAAAAATGATATACATGTGCCCAGGAGAATGACCTTTATTTGCTAAGGACAAGCAAATAAACGCCCAGGCTAAATTCCATGTCTAAATCCCATCAACCTGGACATACAATAAATGTTTTATCGGTTTTTGCTATAGGTAACTTACTCCTGTATAGTAAAAGTCTATTTTTAAAAATAAAATAGATGACTGTTTCTGTCTAAATTTTCCATAGATGTCAGGAAGCAAGGTATGAAAACATAAAAAGCAAAAAAAAAAAAAAAAAAAAAAAAAAAAAAAAAAAAAAAAAAAAATTCACCCATGTGTGCTTTGGCTATCAGTCAGCAAAAGAAGGCCTTGATAGAAATACAGAGTATTATGTTCTCCCTATCTTTTGTTTTCATTCCCTCTCTTGTTAATAAAAGAATTCTCTATACTTCATATTTGCCTTATTTTCATTATCTGCCCATTTTGAAGACACTATTGAATTGAAAAATGCCAAAAGCAAAAGAACATGGTTTTAGAAAGTGAAAGTAGCAGCAGTCTTCATGGCGACAGGAGAGGAGTCTACATTTCATTGACATGACCTTTGTTCTTGGGAGGGGTCCATAATCATAGGTAGATACGTAACTACCAACTGACAGATACATGTGGAGGGAAAGAAATAACTGCAGAAAAGTCTGAGATGTAAAAAACGATTTGGCAGAATTTGGACAAAAATTCTACCAAAAATTATCCATTAATACTTCTGCATAATTAAGTAACCGGTCAATGAAAGGGGATATAAACCAGGAAAAGGCTGTGAAAAGCAAGATACATAAACTTAAGACTCCTCTGTGGTTATGACATGACTAGGATAAAAATCACAGGTCTAGAAAAGTTAGAGGAGTAGAAGGTTTGAATCCCATTTAAGTGATTTAGCTTCTCAGGGATTTTATTCCTTTATATAATGATACAGCATTTACTTCAGTGTTGTAAATGCAAATAGTTTACATGTGTTAAGCTACATAAATATAAGGGATTGTCAACAGTGTTGCTGTTAGGAATTTCTTTAGAATACCTTGTCATATAATGTCTTGGTTAACTGAAAACGTGAACTCTGAAGTCTTCAGACTGGATTCAAATTCTGGCTCCATCACTATGAAGCTGTATGACTCCTGATAATAAGGTACTTAACTTCTGGATGCCAAGTTTTTCATCTGAAAGTGGGGATCATAATAATCTACTACATAGGGTTGTGGTTATAAGTAAAACATGAAAATGGCTTAAAATATGCCTAAGATTGAACAAGCACTCAATAAATATTAATTGCTGTTACTGTTGTATTATCACTAGTAACAGGCATAAACGATCTAGAAGCTGGTTTCTTAAATCAAGAAACAGTTACTTATGTAGAAATTTGGACAGAAAAGCTCTGTCTTAGGGTATCCACTGCCATCCTTCAAAAATGGGAGACAGGTATCAAGTTCTCAAGAGTGAAAAGGTAGCCTGTAACAGACCAGCGCATTAGTAGATCCAATGGAGTGAACATACCTTACCCCATTCTACTGCTGCTACTCTTGTGGGAGGAAAGAGAAAAGAAAAAGTCTTGGCTCTTGAAGCTGTTTCCTCAGAAGAATTCGTACTATAAAGAACAAGTATTTCTCATCTACTACAGCAAAAACAAAACATTCCAAGCACATATTTTAGTGTACACGCTGCTGCTATAAATATTGACTATGGGTCAGAGAATCTGATCTAGACCTGGTTCTAATCCTGTGTGGCCTCAGCCTTCAACATGCATAGAGTACAGAGGGGTTCTTGAATGAGAGGGTCTCTAAGGCATTTTCCAACTTTGACATTCATATTTAATTACAGTTATGTTTCTTTCCTTGCTAATGGTTGTACAAAATTACTAACACTTTACTAAAATACAGTTCAGTAGGACTTTTATTAGAAGAACAAACCTGCTGAATCATCTATAAGCTACAGTACATATAATTATGGTTCAGGAAACATAAGTACCCACAATGACTGTGAGCATTCTATCATTCTAAAACCTGTCACCAATCCCAAAAGGAGATGCTATAAAAATAAAAAAACACAATGCTAAAACTATCTGGGTTTAGATTTGTCTGAAATGTTTAACTTTCTCGAACATTTTAATGAAGACGGCATAATTTATTACAGAGGACCAATTTAATTGGAAGTGTATAGTATGAATCTAAAACTTTGGCTAGTAAGGTCACCTGGTAATTTTAATACTAGTTAGGCAAGAATGTTTCAATTAGTGCCTTACAAACAGTGTACCATTTTCATAGTCTTAAGGTAGGGAGCTTTTTAAAGGCAAGAAAGCTGTCTTATCAGGGTCTCAAAAGCCTAAACAGCACTAGCAGTGTACCTTTGGACAGAGTAACACTGACCAAAATCTGCTCAATAAACTGGGGACAAAAAGCATGACAATAAAGTGGCAGCTGGAAGAACTATTTTCTGAAACCTAATCTTTAAACAAATGCCAAAGTACTACGACATAATATTAAATTTAAGAAATTAATAAAGTTCATTCTAGCCTAATTTATCAACATGAATAAGTAGTTTTCCTCCCTCTGATAGTTTTTAATATTACTGACTTTAACATATGTTAATATGAACTCTTTCTGCTTTTTCCCTTCATTTATTTGTTTTTCGAAAGACATCATTTACAACCTCATTCAAAATGAAGGCTTTTACCTGGACCCTAGGTGTGCTATTCTTCTTGCTAGTGGAAGCTGGACACTGCAGAGGAGGACAATTCAAAATTAAAAAAATAACCCAGAGAAGATACCCTCGTGCCACAGACGGTAAAGAGGAAGTAAAGAAATGTGCATACACATTCCTGGTACCTGAACAAAGAATAACAGGGCCAATCTGTGTCAACACCAAAGGGCAAGATGCAAGTACCATTAAAGACATGATCACCAGGATGGACCTCGAAAACCTGAAGGATGTGCTCTCCAGGCAGAAGCGGGAGATAGATGTTCTGCAACTGGTGGTGGATGTAGATGGAAACATTGTGAATGAGGTAAAGCTGCTGAGAAAGGAAAGCCGTAACATGAACTCTCGTGTTACTCAACTCTACATGCAACTATTACATGAGATTATCCGTAAAAGGGATAATTCACTTGAACTTTCCCAACTGGAAAACAAAATCCTCAATGTCACCACAGAAATGTTGAAGATGGCAACAAGATACAGGGAACTAGAGGTGAAATATGCTTCCTTGACTGATCTCGTCAATAACCAATCAGTGATGATCACTTTGTTGGAAGAACAGTGCTTGAGGATATTTTCCCGACAAGACACCCATGTGTCTCCCCCTCTTGTCCAGGTGGTGCCACAACATATTCCTAACAGCCATCAGTATACTCCTGGTCTGCTGGGAGGTAACGAGATTCAGAGGGATCCAGGTTATCCCAGAGATTTAATGCCACTACCTGATCTGGCAACTTCTCCCACCAAAAGCCCTTTCAAGATACCACCGGTAACTTTCATCAATGAAGGTGAGTTACCTCTTACTGTTAGAAGTGGGAGTATGAGATTAGTATTTTTATGCTTTATGAAACAATGCTCATAATAAATGCTTATCTTTCATTTTGTGATATTATACATACACATTAAAATTTATATTTTTGTTTTTTATTAGTATCATGAATTGAACTTAAATACATCTCTTCCGGCTCTAAAGTTCTTGGAGTTTATAAAAACTTAGTGGATACTGTGAAAAAAGCAGTCTTGAGACAGGAATAACTCCATGCTCTACTCCAAACCACTCCTGCACGCCATAACCATCCTATCAGCCCCCAAATGGGTCATTGCTGCTGCCCAACAATTCTTTTATGTACCTATTGCTGCTTGTACCACCATCTTCTTGAAAAGAAACATGTAAAATATTCCTTTCACCCTCTTCAAGCTGTAATTATACCTCATTATCTCCACTCTCAGTAGATGATATATCTACTACTATATTGAGTAAGTCTAATCAGGTCCTGGTTTTGTTCTTTCTTATCTTGAAAGGATCTTTACAAAACCCATGCCTCTTGCCCTCAGCTTCATGAAGAAAAGGTATCCCTTCTATTTTCCAAGGCTAATCAAACAACAATTAGTGCTGTGTATCCTAAGAAACATAAATTTTCATTACTATAAATAAAACTCTTGCATTGATCATGCATGATTCTGAACTCTACTTTTAAATTTCATTTCTTCCTTTCTTCATGCATTCAGTATCAGTCACTGATCTAGGTGTCCAGAAAACAAAGATGAATAACTAATCTTTGTTTCAGTTTACTAAGCCCACCGCTAACTTTCTGAATTAAGTATTTTATGTTTATTTTACACTTGCAACTATTTTCTCATAAGCCATTCCCAGAATCCCTTACAAGTTGATTTGCTTCCTTAGAGTGGAAGGGAAAACCCAAATGCCACAAAGCAAAAATGAGTAAAGAAACTACAGTTCATTCACTTATTGAAAAGACAGGACATAAAACATATACTATGAAATAATTTTAAACAACAATAAAAATACAGAATAAAGACTGGAAAGAAATATATCACGAAGTGTTTCATCTGTCTGTAGCCGTGAATACCACTTGGCTATTCACAGCCCTGTTTTCTTGGCCTTCTACATTTTAATATTCTTCCTATTGCTTTAGGTACTTCACTGGCATCTTCTTCCTTCTATGCCTTAAAAGTCTTTCTTCAAGATCCTCTACTTTAGGATATCTTGGCCTCAAGTATCACCACTGCTCAGATGATTCCTGAATGGAGCGCTCCCTCCTTATTTAAACAAAGCTGGATGTTTGCATTTGGATATTTCACCATTACCTCACATATCTTCCTTTACTGAAACACCTTCTTTTAGCTTATCTGTCAATTTAGCAGATCTCAAGGCTTAACTCAAATAATATATTTGATGTTATGAATTCCCAGATTCAAACAAACATACCTAGGTGGTTCTTTCCCCAAATGACTGACTGTTTCTCAAACATGTTTTCTATATGATATTACACTGAAGTTATTTATTTATACATCTGTCTCCTTGCTGGTCTGAATGCTTCTGGAAGATAGTGAACTGTCTTTTTACCATTTGATCTCAACATCTCTGTTTTGATTAATGTTGTCACCCATTTCCAAATGAGCTTCGCTCATCTTTGACACTTCCCTACCTGCTCCATACACAGTTCACTGAATTCTACCATGTCCCCTTTCTGGTCTCTTGTGTGCATGCCCCTCATTTCTATTCAGAGCCAGAACTCTAGTTTAGATTCAAATGATCCACGGCAGCAGCTAGAAGACAGAGACTCCCTAGGCTTCCAGCCATGTGATCTTAGGGGAAAAAAAATTATCTGTGTCTCAGTTTCCTTACCTGTGAAATGGGAATGATAATAGTATTTACCTTGTAAGATTTAACAACTGAAAAGTGCTTAGAATAGTGCCTGGCACTCAAATGTTAGTTCTTATTAGTAACTGTACAAATAGGCTGCCAACTGCTGTAACTCTATTTTCTCTCTCCATCAAAATATATTTACATTGCAAGCAGACCCACCTTCTTGAACTACTCACATATCACACTTCTGCTCAGCAGTTTCCCATTGCAAACAGAAAAAGTTCAATTTGCTTAGGCTGGCTAAGAATAATGTCCTTTCTCCTAAAGAATCAAGCCTACTTTGCTAGTGGACCTTCCATTAGTTTCCTACATAAAAACCATCTGTTTCAATAAAATAAATCCATTCAGTTTCCCCTAAATATTTTCCATGCTTTCTGCCTATTCGAAGTGTAAGGCTCAAACCAAACCAACCAACCAACCAACCAACCCAGCAAACAAATAAATAAACTGCAACTTCTCCTTGAGGCCCTTGTTGACTACCACAGGTTCGAAATGATTGTTCCTCTCCATGAATACCTCTACTCTCTGTAACATACATAAGACATTCCGTATAGCCCCCTCTTGAATTATCAGTTATCTTTACATTTACTTATAATACATCTAACTAAGATGGCTTCCAACTATATTATAAGCTCTTTCCTGGTAGATGGTTACTGTGTCTTATCTGCAGCTGCTAAATAAGTGTTAGCTGATTTGGTAACATTTTTATAGAGCTTCTTAAAGTCGTCATTCTAAAGACCCTCATGAAAGTACTTTAGTATATCATATTGGATTTGTTCATTTTATAATGTTCTACGTTACAGTAGCAATAGGCTGGAGTATCATTAAATTGCGTTAATAATGATCATTATTAATATCCTCACTGGGCATGATGGCTCATGCCTGTAATCCCAGCACTCTGGAAGGCCAAGGCGGACGGATCACTTGAGGTCAGGAGTTTGAGACCAGCCTGGCCAACATGGTGAATACTGTCTCTACCAAAAATATACAAAACATTAGCTGGGTGTGGTGGTAATCTCAGCTATTGAGGAGGCTGAGGGAGGAGAATCACTTGAACCTGGGAGACAGAGGTTGCAGTGAGCCAATCATGTCACTACACTCCAGCCTGGGTGACAAGAGTGAGACTCTGTCTCCAAAAACAAACAAAAAATTCAACCCCTTTGATTTCCAAAGGGAAAATGTGATGTATAAAGTAATCCACTGGGTATACAAACTTTTCTTTAAAAAAATGCTTATACAAAACGAAACATACTATGTTTTATTATACACTGAGAGTTAGTACAAAAAAATCCACTACTGGTACAGAATTAAACCTCATGTTAGGGATTTAGTATGTCAAAAGTCCTCTTAAACACATTTTGTTTTAATGAAAAAATGGTGTACCTATCTTCAATAAATGATTCTTTAACGTAAAAATTAAGGACAGATAACTTTTTCTGTTATTCATTATTTGTTGTTTTATGTAAGCATTAACTTTTTACTTATTTTATTCTATAAATGTTGGTCTCTTAAATTCAAGGGCATAATTTGCTACACCATAAGAATTACTACACTAATTAGTACATTAATGAACATATAAGGGAAAGAGCATGGAAGTAAGAACACCTGGTTCCACCATTACCTTTGTTATGTGACCTTGGGTAAGTCACTCTGTTTATGTTTTCTCATTTGTCCAATGAGTGCGCTGGACTGGACTATTCTAATATCCTCTACAAATTCTAATATTCTGTGATTCTTACTAAATGAAATTACTACAAGCAACGAAAACAGGCTATTTCCTTTACATAATGTGCTCAATTATTCACTTGTATTATTTTTACAGCTCTCTGAATAAAATGTCTCAGGCTGTTTAGGTGCTTGCACAAAAAGGGTAAAGATGGACAGCTACTGGTGTACTTATGTATGCCCTGGCACCAAGAAATTTTGATTACTGTACTTTACTTTGAGGTACATGGTCATTCTAAAGTCTCTACATGCATAAGGTGAAAATATACAGTGTATATTTTAAGAGGTGTTCAGCCAGTTACAAAAGACAAACACTGTATGATTCTACTTACATAAGTATTTAGAGTGGTCAAATTCATAGACACAAAGTAGAATTGTGGTTGCCAGAGGTTAGGGGGAGGGTGAATGGGGAGTTAATAGTTTCAGTTTTGTAAGATGAAGAGTTCTGGAGATGTATGGTGGTGATGGCTGTACAATACAAATGTTCTTAATGCCAGTGAACTGTACGTTTATAACACGTTTTACAAAAGGTGTTAGGACAGGCAATTTTTTATTTTCTTTAAAAACAATTACAAGAAAAATCTATCTCAAAACCCATGAAGTTATAAAAAATAGTATTTAGATAAAAAACATTTTTCAAAGGCCGGGCGCGGTGGCTCAAGCCTGTAATCCCAGCACTTTGGGAGGCCGAGGCGGGTGGATCACGAGGTCAAGAGATCGAGACCATCCTGGTCAACATGGTGAAACCCCGTCTCTA